AATCAATGTTTTTGGCCCCCTCGAGCGCTCCAGGAGGGCTTCTTGTTGCTCTCTTGGGCCGTCTTGGAGGCTTCTTGATCTGTCTTGGGAGCCTGTTGAGCTGTCTTGGGTCATCTTGGTATCATCTTGGCTGCCTTGAAAGCCATCCTGGGTGCTATGAGGCTCCCAAGAAGGCCTCAAGACAGATCAAGCGGCCCCCAAGACGGCCCAAGAGACCTCCAGGAGAGCCCGAGGTTTCTGAATAATTAATTCTGCATGTTTGGGTTCCCGACCGCCCAAGGCAGCCCAAAAGGCCTCTTTGGGCCGTCTTGTTGCTCTCTTGGAGCGCTTCAAGGCCGCTCTGGGACCCTTCATTATCTGCCAAAAACTATTGGAAGCTAAATAGTTTTGGCCCCCTCGGGCTCTCCAGGAAGGCCTCTTGGAGTCCTCCTGGGCCGTCTTGGGGGCATCGGTGGCCGTCTTGAGGCTGTCTTGGGGGGCTCTTGAGCTGTCGTGGGCCATCTTGGACTGTTTTGGTGTCGTCTTGGCTGTCTTGGACGCCGTCTTGGAGGCCATCTTGGCCGTCTCGAGGCCGAAAAGAGCGCCAGGGAGCAACTTCAGAGGGGATGTGTTTTGACCCCGCTGGCGAACTGGGAGGGAGGGCCGGCCCTGGAAAACATAACAAACACTTCCAGAGAGACCACAGGCGCATTCTGACACGCCCACTCCGCGCAGGCACGGTGGCAGATGTGTAATTACACATTGGTCGTTGAAAGTGGGTATTTGGGAATCCCCAGATCCCAATTTTCCTATCTCGGGAATCGATATGCTTTTGTGTGTTTTGTTATCCCCTGGGAGGGCCTGAGCCCAATCTACTTGATCCGCCTTCCGACCGACGTGCATGCAATTGCTTGCTCCTCGAGTCAGGCCCATCTCTTTTCGTCGCTCAGCTGGCGCGCTGGCGCCCTCCGACAGCGCGGCGAGCACGGCGGCTGCGGCGCGTCTCCGCGGCCGCGCCCAGGCGCGCCGCTGCCGCCGCCGGCCACGCCCTCGGTGCTGGCGGCGGCAGGCCCCCTCGTCGCACCCCCGCCGCTGCCCGCGGTCTGGCGGGCCGCCGTCGCCGCTCGCCGCCAGCGCCATCGCTGCTCTTTGTCGTTGCTCTTTGCCGCTGCTCGTCGTCGTGGCTCGTCGTCATTGCTCGTCGCAAGCGGCGTCGTCGGCGACGGCGTCGGCCTCGTCGTCGTCGGCGTCGTCGCCGTCGGCGTCGGAGGTCGTCGGCGTCGTCGGAAGTCGTCGGTCGTCGCCGTCGCCGTCGCCGTCGTGGTCGTCGTCGTCATCTTCGTCTTCGTCGTCGTCGTCTTCGTTGGCGTCGTCGGCGTCGTTGTCGGCGGCGTCGTCGGTGGTAGTCGGTCGTCGTCGTCGGCGTCGTCGGTGGTCGTCGGTCTTCGTCGTCGTCGACTTCGGCGGCGGCGTCGTCGTCGGCGTCGGCGTCGGCGTTCGTCGTCGTCGCCGCCGTCGCCGTCGTCGTCGCCGTCGTGGTCGTCGCCGTCGTCGTCGCCGTCGCCGTCGCCGTCGCCGTCGTCGTCGTCGTCGTCGTCGTCGTCGTCGTCGTCGTCTTCGTCGGCGTCGGCGTCGTCGTCGGCGTCGTCGCCGTCGGCGTCTTCGTCGGCGTCGGCGTCGGCGTCGTCGTCGTCGTCTGCTTCGTCATCGTCGGCGTCGTCCTCGGCGTCGTCCTCGTCGGCGTCGTGGTCGTCGTCGTTGTCGTCGTCGGCGTCATCGTCGTCTTCGTCAGCGCCGTCGTGGTCGTCCTAGTCGTCGTCGTGTTCGTCGTCGAGTTCGTCGCCGTGGTGACCGTCTGCGACAGGCCCTTTCGCACACTGCCCGCGTCTCGCCGCTCGCCGCTCGCCCGGCTCCAGGGGAGCCCTGAGATCTGGGCGCCGCGACTTTCTCGCACGGGGTGTCTTCGCCCGGTTTTGCATGTCGCGGGTCCATCCGAGTGACCCTTCGCCGAAGCGACCTTTGGTGCGGGCCCAGTGGGGTCCCCCGATCGCCGAACGCCAGGCGGCAGTGGCGTCTTGCGCGCTTGTGTTTGGCCCCCCCGGGGCCCCCAAAAAGCCGCGCACCAAAGGTCACTCTTACCCAGGGTCACTCTTGCGTGTAGTCGAAAGAATGTCTCAGAAAGATGGGTCCAGGGTTCCGATCGTGACTTTCGGATCGGGGCCGGCCAGTTGGAGCCAGCAGATTGGGTCGGAGGAGATCGGCGCCGCATCGTTGATGCCTCGGCGATGCGGCGCGATTTGGAGCCCGATTGCCTCCATTCCCGTTTCGCCGATGCTTCGGCGATGCGGTGCGAAGCAGCGTTTCCAGAGTGGAGGTCCGGACCTGCTTGTCGAAGGTTTTGATTTTCTGGGCACGTGGTGGCCCCCCCCGCCCGCTCCTGCTCCACGCCCTCGCTGCTTCGACGCCACCCCTCAGAGTCGTAGCCAGCGTGGCTCTTCGCCGGAGTGGCCCCTGGTGCGGGCTCACAGGGGCAGGGGTCCCCCCAGCATTGGCCTGCGCGCTTGGAGCTGGCCGACCCGCGGCCCCGTCAAGCTTTTGCGCACCACAGGTCACTCTTGCCCAGAGTCGCTCTTGCGTGCAGCTGGTCGAAAGAATCTGCTGGCGCGACTCGTCCGGAGCCGCCGGCGCCGCTCTTCCGTCCATCAGGAAGGCCGCGCCCTTCGAAGGAGAAAACCAGCGTAACCATAAGCTGTTGGAGCTCCGCGCGGATCTCCGGCGCCGCCCCTGGCGCGCTCCGCGTGCCGGGAGGGAGGTGCCCAGCGCAGATCCAGGGAATCCACGCGGACCTCCAAAAGTTTATGGTAATGCAGTTTTTTCACGAAAAGGGCGTGGGCCCAGGGTTCCCTTTTAGGAGTTTACCTCCGGAATCGACGGGCGTAGGGCCGGCGGAATTATTTGCGATAGATTGCGAGGTCGCGTAGGGCAAGCGGAAGTGATTTTTGAGGATGTCCTTAGCGAAACGCTTGTTTTGCATAATGTGTTGAACATGTCTCGAGCGAAACGTTTGTTTTGTGCTATAGATCGTTCCTCTCCTGGGGACCAGAATTCAGAGGATGTCTCAGGGGAAACGCTTGTTTTCACGAGCCCAGGTCTTGAGGATATCTCGAGCGAGACGCTTCGAGAATGTCTCAAGCGAAACGCTTGTTTTGCAGAACTCTAGCGGCCTGGGCGCCCCAGGATGCCCAGGTGGTTCTGGGAGTCCGAACGCAGCGTAAGTTATTAAGGAACGTGGCCCTGGGAGCGCGGACGCAGCGTAATTCACGAAGGAGCGCAGCCCTGGGAGCGTGGACGCAGCGTAGTTTACGAGGGACCATGGCCCTGGCACGGTCCTTGGCACGTTCCGTGGCGCGTCCCGTGGCGCGTCCCCCTTTCACGTCGCGCGGCGCGTCCCCTGGCACGTCTCGTGGCACGTCCATTGGCATGTTCCGTAGCCCGTCCCCTTGGCATCTGTTCGGTGCGCCCCCATGGCACGTCCCCTGGCACGTCCCTTAGCGCGTCCCCTGGGACGTTCCGCGGCGCGTCCCCCTGGCATGTCCTCCTGTCAATTAGCTCTGGGGCAGCTACTATGTGCTCAGGCAGCTCGAGCTTAAGATCACGATCAGTTCGGTCAGGACTCGGATGCAAAGGAGGACTCGGTCCACACCGCTAAGAGCACAATCGCGGCATGGCACATCGCAATTCAGTACGGCGCAGCACAGCACAGCCCTCGGCACAGTACATCAAGATCGATACATTCAGCATTGCAACTTGGCACGTTCCGTGGCGCGTCCCGTGGCGCGTCCCCCTGGCACGTCGCGCGGCGCGTCCCCTGGCACGTCTCGTGGCACGTCCATTGGCATGTTCCGTAGCGCGTCCCCTTGGCACCTTTTCGGTGCGCCCCCATGGCACGTCCCCTGGCACGTCCCCTGGCGCGTCCCCTGGGACGTTCCGCGGCGCGTCCCCCTGGCATGTCCTCCTGTCAATTAGCTCTGGGGCAGCTACTATGTGCTCAGGCAGCACAGCACAGCACTCGGCACAGTACATCAAGATCGATACACTCAGCATTGCATTTGCCCGTCGCCCAGCCCAATCAGGTGTCTGTGAAAACGCTGCCATGCTTTATATTTCTATATTCCTTTTCTGGGTTCGTGGGTCGATCATGTCTTCTTCTAGCCCTGGCGCGCGCGCGGGAGCGCTCTTCCTCTCTCTGTCCTGTAGGTGATGCTCAGTCGACGCAGACCAGCTGGATGGCGACGAACTATCCCCAGACGTACCGCCTGTGGCAGTTCGTCACGGCCGCGGCCATCGTGAAGGCGCCCGGAGCCGTGGGCGGCGTGGAGCTGTGGCCGGTCTGGGAGGGGTCCGAATGGCCGAACGGCGACGGGAGCGGAAGAGTCACACAGTCATCCCGCAGCAAGGCCGAGCTGCTCCACGCGCGAGGGGCGCGGGTAGGATCGCGCGGGGGTGAGAGTCGGGATGGGCGAACCTCCGCGGGGCGTGGGCGGTCGGATCTCCCCCAGACCACGGGGCCCCCCGCCCCGCCCCCCCCCCCTGTCGGGGGGAATGGCGGGCCCTCCTTGGGCTGCATGGGCCCCTCCCCTGGGCTTTGGAGGACCCCCTCGGCTGCGTGCTTTGACTGTGCTCCTCGGGTCCCTGCCCGTCGTCTGGACGGTTTGACAAGCGTGGGAGGGCGGATCGCGGGGGGTGAAGGAGTGAGTAGGCTGTCTTGTTCGAGGCGCGGTGAGGTCGAATCGCATTGCGAGTTGGCTTCGGCGCGGGTAGGCGGGGCCAGTGCGGACCGTCGGACGAGGTTTGCATGGAAGGGGGGCCGTGCTGAGCGATGTGGAGCATCCTTCCCCCCCATCCACCTTCTCCTCTCCTTCCCTTTATCTCCGTATGGAGAGCACGCTCTGGGTCCGTGCGCGCGCGCAGCCGATGGAGCACTTGAATGGGGGAGGGCGGGGGGAGCGGCAGACGCGGAGGCATCCTGGCTCAAGCGGGTTGGCTTCAAGCATGAAGGGCTCAGGCCACTATGGAGCCAATGCTCTTGGATGTTAGGAGGCATTCGGCGAGGGTTTCGAGAAGGCGCTGTTTCGCTCGAAGTGGCAATCAAGAAGTGTGGTCGGACAAAACAGTGGAGCGCAGCATTGCAGTTGCTCCGCGAAGGAATTCAGTTCGGTGTCAGACTGTTCCCGGGCTACTACGTTGCCACTGCCAGCTTATGCAGAACATGCGGGCAATGGCAATGGGCATTGTGTGTGCTGAGTGGGCTGTTGGAATCCAAGATGGAGCCCACCGTCATCAGCTACAACGCTGGGATCAGCGCGTGCGAGAAGGGCGGGCAGTGGCAAACTGCTATGTCTCTACTCAGCGAGATGCAGGAGGCGAAGGTAGAGCCCGACGTTATCAGCTACAGTGCTGTGATCAGCGTGTGCGAGAAGGACGAACAGTGGCAGCGGGCTTTGGCGCTGCTCGTCGAGATGTGTGATTCGAGGGTGCAGCCTGACGTCATCATCTACAGCGCTGTCACCAGCGCGTGCGGGAAGGGCAAGCAGTGGCAGCGGGCTCTGGCGCTGCTCAGCGAGGTGCGGGAGGCAGAGCTTGAGCCCGACATGATCTCTACAGCAATGGAGGGATCAGCGTGTGCGACGGGCGCATCGGGTGGCACAGCCCACATCGGCCTCCGCCCAGGGGCCTTGACGGTCCCAGACGGCCCTTTGCGGCTCCGCGGGGCCCCAGGCTGGCCGAGAGAGTCCCCAGGAGGCGCCCAAGACGGCCCAGGACGCTCCTGGACGGCCCAAGATTGCACTGAGGTGGCTCGAAGAGGCTCCATGATGGCTCCGCGCAGGCCTCCCCAGAGTCGACAAACATCGCCCAAGATGCCCCAAAGATAGCCCCAGCTACCCTCGACGACGGCCCGCAGACGGCTCGAAGATGGCCCACGACCACCTCAAGATGTCTTCAGGACCACCCAGGGTGGCACCCAAGGCGGCGCCAAGGGCCGTGCGAAGCTCCCAAGATTACCACTGGCCCCCAACGAGGTTCCTAAGACAGCCCAGGAAGACCCCGAGACATCCCCAAGAGGACATAACCCAGGACAGCGATCGCAGCACGCAAGCAGCAGAGCCAGTAGCAGCAGAGCCATAACGCAGCAGCAGACAAGAGAAGCAAGCACTAGTCAGCAGCAGCAAGCCCAAAACTTCCCCAAGACAGCCCCGAGAGGGTATCAAGAATTCGCGAGCCAGCTCCCACAGCAAGCAAGCAGCAGAGCCAGCAGACTGGCAGGAGCGGCAGACAGAAGAAGCCATCACCAGCGAGCGGCAGCAGCCAGCAGCTCGAGTCCAAAGCAACATCAGCAGCAGCAGCGTCGAACCCACGCGCACACATTATGTCTCTCCTGCGATGCCGGCCGGCATCACCGCGTGCCAGAAGGCCGCCCAGGGAATTTTAGCCTTCCTGCCACGCCCCGACGCGCCGCTGGGCGCCCCCCAAAGCGCTCCCCGGGCAGCCATCCGGCCCCACGGGAGGGCCGCATGCGACCCAAGACAGCCCAAGGAGGCGCACGCGACCGCTGCACAGGGCACCCCAGGCTGCCCCAGGCGCCGCAAGACTTCTGAAGACGTCGCCGAGGCCCCGCGAGGCCCTCGGGAATCCAGAGGTGGCCACAGAGGCCCGAGCGGCGCGCTGTGCCCCTCGTTGCCCACTCCCTCTAATCCGTATGAGCTTCACGTTTCGCTATGTGCCAGACATTGTATACCAGATTATGTACGTAGCCGTTTTGGCTCTAGCCAGCATGTTTCTTACATATGCTTTCGAGTGAGGGAGGCTAAAACATATAATCGTACCGGTCACACGATGTCTCGTGACGTTAACAGCTGCATCTCGCGGCAGCATAATGCAGCGACTGGCACCGAGCATGAGCATCAAGAGGCAAGTGGAGCCTTGCCCGACGAGTGCGTCGAGCAGGCAGCGCCAGCAACCTCTAGCAAGAGGTTTGCATTCGGTAAGCTTCATGCAGCAACATCAGGCAGCAACTTCACGCAATAACAGCAAGTGGCAGCAGAAACCATAATGAGCAGCACGCAGCAACGGCACACAGCAGCAATCAATCAGCATCAGCCAGCACCAATCAGCAGCACCCAGTAGCACCGAGCCACAGCAAGCAGCAGCAAACGCCATCAAATATCAGCCAGCCGCGGCGGCAAGAAGCAGCAAACACCAGCGAGCAGCCGCAATTGGCAGCAAGCAACACCGAGCAGCAGCTATCGGCAGGCAACGGCAGCGAATGGACGGGCAGGTCATGAAGCAAGCAACCAACCAAGAAAGCAGGCGACCAGACCGCCGCAAGCTTTCAGGCCACCAGGCTGGTAACCTCGGGCAAGGAAGTAGCCAAGCGGGCAAGCGCTCCTCACCCTTGCATGCGAGTCAGCGTTCCTGGCCTCCGGAAGGATCCCAAACAGATCAGGCCAGATGTCGTAGACGGATACGATTGGTTCACCCAAGTCTCTCTTCCAATGCGGGTGTCGGGGCGACACTTCTGGTCGAAGCGCATCCCAGAGAGGGAGATCAGTGGCGATGACACCGCGCCCCAGACCCCCTCCAGAACCCGCTCCAGCGGCCGCTGGCTGCCCTCGGGGCCACTCCAGTATAAGTACAACCGCTGGCTGGCCTGGGGCAGACTCCCACAGGAACCCAGAGCTCACAAGAACCTCGAGATCTGGAGCTTGCATGTTGATTCGCCCTGGGCGCTTCCGCCTGGTTTCGGGGCTCGGGACCACCACAGGTCGGGCCCGAAAAATGTGGCAGAAGGGCTCTCGTGTCCACGCTTCCAGGTCGCCCAGGCGGATGTCTAGCATGAGGAGGTGTTGAGAACGTGTCGAGCGAGACGCTCGTTTTCACGTGCCCAGGTCGCCCAGGCGGATGTCTAACATGAAGATGTGTTGAGGATGTCTCGAGCGACCCGCGTGTTTCACGTGTCCTGGTCGCCCAGGCGGATGTCTAGCATGAGGATGTGTTGAGCGACATTCTTGTTTTCACGTGTCCAGGTCGCCCAGGCGGATGTCTATCATGAGGATTTGGGCGGGGTGTCTCGAGCGAAACGCTTGTTGTCACGCGTCCAGGTTGCCCAGGCAGATGTTTAGCATGAGGAGGTGTTGAGAATGTTCCTCTCGAGCGCGACGCTTGGTTTTACGTGTCCAGGTCGCCCAGGCGGATGTCTAACATGAGGAATTGTTGAGGATGCTTCGAGCGAGACGCTTGATTTCATGTGTCCAGGTCGCCCATGCGGATGTCTAACATGAGGATTCGTTGAGAATCTCTCGAGCGAAACGCTTGTCGCAGTAGAGTGCGTCGCAGTCCAACCCCGCCAGTCCGTGGGGCGTCCACTGGCGCGCTGGCGCGTCACCTGGCGCGTCCCTTGCGACATTCTAGCGTGCTGGCACGTCCCCTAGCACGCCACTCGGCGTGGCACGTTCCCTGGCTCGTCCTCTGTCGCGTTTCCTGGCTCGTCCCCAGGCTTTTCCCCTGCCCGTTCCGTGGCGCGCCCACTGCAACGTCCCTTGGCATAACGTCCTCTGGCCGCCCCATGGCACGCGCCTTGGCACGTCCCGTGGCAGGGCCCTGACACGTCCAGGGCACGTCCCCTGATACGTCCCTTGACCCCCCCAGCGCATCCCCTATCGCGCCCCTGGCACATCCTGTGGCGCGTCCGTGAGCCTGTGCCCCGTCTCGTGTCGCTCCTTTTCGGAGCCGAGTCGGATTTTGAGGTCGAGTTGATTGATTGTCCTCCACGTCGTTTCCACTTCTACCTCTAGGACAGCTAGACAGCTCGAGCTGAAGATCCAGATCAGTTCGGTCAGGACTCGGATGCAAAGGAGGACCTGATAGACAACGCTATGGAGCACAATCGCGGCATGGCACATCTCAATTCAGCACGGCACAGCACAGCACAGCCTTTGGCACGGTGCTACAAGATCAATACATTTTGCATTGCAATTTTCTGTCGCCCATTCAGATGTCTTGAAAACGTTGCCATGCCTTACATTTCTATATTCCTTTTCCGGGTTCGTGGGTCGATCATGGCCTGGGAAGGGCGTGGGCCCAGGGTCTTCTTTTAGTTGGTTACCCCCCCGGCCTCGATTTGCACAGGGCTGGCGATTTTTTTCTTCGATGAAGTCGCGTAGGGCCAGCGAATTCTAGACGCTTCGCGTATCCCCACCAGCCCGTCCAGAAACGACGCCCAGGCGAGTAGAGGGTCGTCCTGAGGGGCTTTTCGGCGTCTTGGGTGCCTCGGGGGGGCCTCTGTGGGCCGTTCGGGATCCTCTTTGGGGCCTCCTGGGGGCCTCTTGGGGCCTCTTGGGGCCATCTTGGGGCCTTTGGGGGCCTCCTGGGCGCTTCTTGGGGCCTCCTGGGCGCTTCTTGGGTGCCTCTGGGGGGTCTCTTGGGGCCTCTTGGGGGTCTCTTGGGGGCCTCCTGGGGGCCTCTTGGGGGGCCTCGGAGCCATCTTGGAGGAGATCGATCAACGAAGGGGGGTTCCCTAATTACAGTCCCCCCCTCAGGAGCCACGATCCTCGTGAGGGGTGTCGAATTTTAGCCCTCCCAGGGGTCGTTCTTGGACGCTCTAACTACCCGCGGCCCCCCCTGTCCAGGTCAGTGGGGAGGGGGTAGGGGGAGGGGTAAACCCCTCCCGGAAGGGGAAGAAGGAGGGGTGGAAGAGGAAACGCTCTAAACCACCGACGCCCAGAGGGCTGGTGGGATTACAAAGTTGAGGATGTCCCGAGCAAAACGCTGGTATTTGAAATTCCGACAGATAAAACACATGGTAAAGTAATACATGTTCGTTTGTTGCGGATGTCTCGAGCGAAACGCTTGTATTGCAATATGTTTTGAGGATATCTCGAGCGAAGCGTTTGTTTTGTGTTATAGATTGTTTCTCTTCTGGAAAGCAACATTCAGAGGATGTCTCAGGCGAAATGCTCGTTTTCACGTGCCCAGGTCTTGAGGATGCCTCTAGCGAGACGCTTGGTTTCACGTGTCCAGGTTGCCCAGGCGAACGTCTAGCATGAGGATTCGTTGAGAATGCCTCGAGCGAAAACGCTTGGTTTCACGCGCCCAGGTCGCCCAGGCAGATGTCTAGCATGAGGATTCGTTGAGGATATCTCGAGCGAAAAGTTTGTTATCACGCGACCAGGTCGCCGAGGAAAATGTGCATCTGGATTCGTTGAAGATGTCTCGAGCGAAACGCTTGGTCTCACGTGTCCAGGTCGCCCAGGCGGATGTCTGTCATGAGGATGTGTTGAGAACGTCTCAAGCGAAACGCTTGATTTCATTTGCCCAGGTCGCCCAGGCGGATGTCTAACATGAGGATGTGTTGAGGATGTCTTGAGCGAGAAGCTTTCTTTCACGTGTCCAGGTTGCCCGGGCGAATGTCTAGCATGAGGATTCGTTGAGGATGTCTCGAGCGAAACGCTTGGTTTCACGCGTCCAGGTCGCCCAGGCAAATGTCTAGCCAGAGGATTCGTTGAGGATGCCTCGAGTCAAACGCTTGTTATCACGCGACCAGGTCGTCGAGGCAAATGTCTAGCATGAGGACCTGTTGACCATGTTTCGAGCGAA